CTCCACAAAAAGGGGTGCCACATTATGGTGTAGAGACGCCCACTGCTCGCCCACACGTGCGCAGACGGGAAGGGGCGTGTTCTTGTCAGTGCCATAAACCCTAAAACCCTAAAACCCAAAGGGTTTAGGGTGTAGGGTTTAGGGATAAAGGGGCCGAAAGCACCCTTCTCTTCGCAATCATGAGCATTGCCTACATGTCTTGGATCTATCCAACCGTATGATCCTCCAGAGATCTAAATCCTGGTTCTTGGAAACTGACTGTAGCAGCTATATACTTGGTCATATATATGGGTAGTTGTCAAAACTATGGTCCCTTTCTGGATCCCTATTATAATACGGCGCCTAATATTTAGGGTACCCAGAAAGGGACCATAATTTTGACAACCACCCATATATATTTATATATATGTTTGTGTATGTATTTTACGGCCTCCCGAAGTGGACATTAATTTGTACACTCACAGTATTCCGAAGAAACCTCTAAACACCAACCACAACCCTAGGGTTTAGGGTTTTAGGGTTTAGGGTTTAGGGTAAACCCTAAAACCCTAAACCCTAAACCTATAAAAACCAGGTCCCATATTGGACCCTTACCAAGGGCGAAATCTTACTACAGCGGGAAAAATCGGAGATTGTTACTTGATAGGTGCAGCATCCAAACCAAAACCTGAATTCTGACTCCAAATAATTGAGGGGATCCGTGCATGTTCCTAACCTGTAATATGGCTGAACCTTCACTGAAACCTGAAACTCGCAACCAATAAAGACACGACATCCCATCCCCCATGGACTCTTTTGGCAAGATGCAAGCGCGAACTACGAGAGGGTCGTGAAACATGAGAGCCTCAGACTAGTATGGTTTTCTCTGACTTCTATTCCCCTATACACATACCAATAAAAGAAGAACCCTAAACACTAAACCCCGAAGCTCAGGAATCAAATCGAAAATCAAATGGCCCGCAAATGACCACTAACAGGGAAACAGAGATCATGCAGGGCCTTCCCTGTAGCCTAAAACAGCCCCACGACCTAAGACTGAAAGTACTAGTAATGATGATAAAAATTTCAGCAGTAGTGATAATAATAACAGTAGTAACAAGACTACTAAAGAAATTGTCTAATAGAATATGTTCATGGCGTTTTCCTTACAGCCTGTCACTCTCTAAATCCTAAGCCCTAAACCTTTACCCTACGTCATCTTGCCGACACAGGCTCAACAGATTTATATAGGTATTCCCCCTAATCACCCCTATAGTAGTCCCCTATATAAGCCCCTATATAACACCCTTTAAGGAGTTTGGAAAAACCCTAAACCTCATATAAGTCCCCATATAACCCCCTTTTAAGGAGCTTAGACTATGGTTCATACATCCCCTGAGCTTCTGCCAAGAAGCTCCAATGTCAAGGCTCCCTTGAGCACGGCTTCGGGTTTAGGGGTTTAGGGCTTAGGATTTAGGCTTTGGGTTTATTAGGGTTTAGGTTTTAGGGTTTAGGGTATAGGACTTAGGGTTTAAGGTTTAGGGCCTAGGGCGTTTGGCCGTTTGTGGCACCTCTGCAGGAACCAGTCACACCGTCTGGTGCTGCATGGCCTGAAGCGATCTAAGAGCAGCAAGCACTCGAACTGAGTCCTTGGTGGCTGATAGTAGTGAATGAAGGATTTAGGGCTTAGCATTTAGGGTTTAGGGAACAGAAAATGGCAACTACCATTTAGGATGTAGGGAATAGAAATGGAATCTACTGCATTACCGGGCCCGAAACCCTAAGCCCTAAAAGGGAGCCATTCTTCCGTTCCATACTAACAACCAACCAGACTCAGCAAGATCCGACGCAGGCAGCCACTGGTCGCAAATATGTACCCGTGCAAAGGGAACCACTGGAAACCTGAGCACAGCCACAGGAAAGGTCAGTAGAAGCCTGCACTTTAGTAGGGCTTGGGGCTTAGCAGCGCTCTGGTGCTCAAGTCTCTAACTGCGGTGAGACTGACTTAGTGCTTCCTGGCGACAGCCGATGGGGAGTATGGATCACGTTTGCACTGCTGATCCAGTTGCTGGGCACCACGATGTGTCCATAGTCTGCGCCGGCATCAATGAGTCTTACAGCACAAGCTGGGCAGTAGTGCAAAGCAACATCCAAAGGACGCAGCGTACCTGATGCAAAACGGCCGTTGTAAACTGGGTTGCTGTTAAGGAACTTAAATTAAGCTACTAAATTGGGGAAACCCTATTATTTACTATATATATTAAGTTCCTTAACAGCAACCCAGTACATGCTCAAAGTTCTGCAAGGCGACCTTGCCGTGACGAAACTGAAGCACAGTTTGAGAAAGTTTGTCTATATAGGGATTATATAGGGGTTATAATAGGTTCTATAGGGATTATGTAGGGATTATGTAGGGGTTATAATAGGTTCTATAGGGATTATTTAGGGATTATATAGGGGTTATAATAGCTAAACAAGCCCCGTGCAAAATGTGAAAACGTTTGGGGCCAGCGGCAAGGAATTGCCATAGAAACAAATTCTCAGCCCTATTCCCTGAACGACCATCTGGCAGAGAGCCTTAGTGCACTCCAAGCTTCAATTGTTGTTTCCTGAGTTGCTATTAAGGAACTTTAAAAAGTAGGGTTCTCTTATTATAGCAACTTAGTTTAAGTTTTAATTAACCCTAATTTGTAAGCCGTAAACCCCAAACCCTAAACCCAACCCAGTTTCGTGTCGAATTCCTATACCCGCTGTTGTGGTCCCACAATACATCGTGGTCAGCAAGGATGCTCTCCGCATGGATGTTTGCATGTTTGTCAATCCTGAGTACCCGCGCGGTTTAGAGTTTTAGATTTTTAGGATTTAGGGTTTTGGGTTTGGGGGGTTTAGGGTTTTAGGGTTTTAGGGCTTTAGGGTTTTGGGTTTAGGTTTTAGGGTTTCAGTGTTTGGGGTTTTAGGGCTAGGGAAGTTATATCAACTCCCCCCTCCTCAAGCTTGAACATGTCACCTGATGTATAAGTTCTCTTGCGGGCACACATTTGATACTAGGGTTCGGGACGTTTGATATTAGCATGGTGAAAATAATGCTCACAAGATGTCAGATCAGGGCGTCGTATATGGGGGGAATGGAGGCAACATGTTCCGTGGAAGAAGGTACAGGGGGGTACGTGGGCAATGGAAAACAAACTGGAAACTGGCATGTTGCGATTCGCTATGTAAACTTCGGCTGCATGCTTCGTAATCCTGCGTAGAAATTGCGTTAAGAACCATCAGCTTCTTTGGCAGGCTGTGAGCGGAACCAAGGGCCAAAAAGCACCGTGAGTTTGCCCTAAACCCTGAACTCTAAACCCCAAACTCTTAACCCTCAACTCTAATTGAGCTCCCGCTAACCAGGGC